GCGGATGAGCCGACCGAGCGTCTCCATGTGCTCGTCCTGGAGCTCCTTGAAGTACTTGATGTGGTGCGGGAAAAACTCGCGCTTGGTCAGCTTCATCATCGTGAAGCGGTTGTACGGGAAAATGGTGGGCAGGTAGTTGAAGAAGTTGTCGTTGTACTCGCCCAGCTCCACCGCCAGCTTGGCCGTCTCGACCAGCGGCGGCTTGAGCGCCGGCGGGAACTTGGTCTTGACCGCAAAGCTCTCGCTGGCCACCAGCCGGCGCAGGTTCTCAAACGCCGCCTGCAGCCGCGGATCCACCGGCCGCGTCGGGTAGCGCGCCTTCTTGGCCCGCGCCGCGTTGTCGTCGATCTCGTCGACCTTGATCGGCGACTCGCGGCTGCCTTCGGCCGACTGCCGGCTCACCGCGGGCGGCGTCCCGTGCGGCGGCGACCCGGCGGACACCGCGCTGCCACTGCCGCTGGCGGCGCCGTTGCTGCCGTTGAGCAGCGAGTTGACCTGCATCCCGGCCGAGGACCCCTCGCCTCCGCTAGGGGCGGCCGCCGTCGCGGGTATCGGCGCAATCGGGCCGGCCGTAGTGATCTGACCGCGCTTGGCGATGAGCTTGTTGATCGAACCGGCAAAGCCCGACTTGGAGTCGCGGATGCTGAGGGGCTTGACGCGTTCCCTGCCGCCGGCGCCCAGGCCCGATCCGCGGCCCTGCTTGCTCGGCTTGATCTTGGCCAGCTCGACGGGGCCCTGCGTGACGTAGAACCCGTCGGCCTTGGGCTTGGCAAAGTGGGTGGGCTCGTCGACGCCCAGCTCCGAGTCGTCGACAAACGGGTCCTTGGTATCGTAGGCGTCATCCTCGGCCAGCTTGCCACCCCTCCGGCGCTTCTTGCCGGCGTCGCCAGCAGCTCCACCGCCCCGGGCTCCAGACTCGGCCGGGTACTTTGCCAGCAACTTGGCCAGGCCGCCCCCGACGTCGTCCAGGCCCGGCGGAAGGGCGGGGCCCGGTGCGGCGTCGTCGACGACCTCCATCTGCGACTCGAACCACGTCGCCCACGGGTGGCGCTCCGTCCTGAGCTGGGCGTAGACCAGGTTGGGCACGTTGACCAGGTAGCCGTCCTTCTTGGCCTCGGCCAGCGAGATGCGGATGGTGGGCCTCGGTGGCGGTCCAAGAGGGGCGATGGGCTCCGGCAGCGATGGCGTCTTTCGCCGTGCTCGCCTCTTGACCTTGACTGCGTCCTTGTTGCGCGAGTTGTCGCCAGCCTCTGCCCCTGAAGCGCTTCCGCCGTCGGACGATCCATCGTCGTCGTCGTCGTCGTCGTCGTCGTCATCCTGGCGGTCTTCCGCGCGCGCTGTTGCTGGTGCCGATGCTCCTGGCTCGCCAGCGGCGTCTCCGTTGGGCGCGGTGGTGTCTGCGGACGGTCTGCTGGCGCCCGGTGGGCTCGTTTGATCTTGGAGAGCCGCCGAGCCGCTGGGGCTGCCGTGGCTCAGTCGGCGGTCCGGATCTCTGCTGGAGTCGCCGAGCACGTCTGGGTAGGTGCTCCGCGTCGGTATCGCCGGCTGCTCGCCTCGCTCCTGTGCTTCGACCGACATGCCCGAGGTCGGCGCGGGTGCGGCGCGGGAGATCGAAGGTGAGGCTGCCTGGTATGGCGGCGAGCGGGCCCGGGAGTCCGAGGATCCGACGTCGCTGAACCTCTTTCTGGGCGAGCCGCCGGATGGGCTGCCGTAGGGTGAGGTCGAGGGCCCGGTAGGTCCGAGGAGGTTGGCCAGCGAGACTCGAGAGGCGGCCGAGACTCGGCGGGGCTCCATGGGCTCATCGCCGTCGTCGTGTGAATGGCCGTTGGCATGGTAGACGGGCGATGCGGCGACGCTGCTGGAGCTCGAGATCTCGATGACCTGCGGTGCTGATCGTTCGACGCTCATCGTGCCGGCCGGGGCCCGGGCTAGGGCTAGGGCCGGGTCTGTTTGGCTGCGGGTATCTTTGTGGGCGCGAGCGAGCGGGATGAGCGGTCAAGCTCGATACGGTGGCCACGCCGAGGGAGCCTGTATGCTGATGGCCTGGTCGAGCCGCGGGTCCGTCGGCTAGCTCAGGAGGGAGCGCCGATGCTGGCCAGTGGTGCGACGTCAAGGCGCCCGGCTGAGCTCGATGCGACCGTCCGAGTGGCGAGTGCAGGCGCAAAAGCGGCGACGACGTGTGACCGAGTTAAGCTCCGTGGTCGTCGGGTCGAGGTGTGTCGGCCAGGGAATGCGGCGCAGCTGTGAGCAACCAGCGTGGATGCCGACAGGCGTCGGGTCGACGAGGCTGCGCTGCGGTTGGCGAGTTGTGTTCCTCTTTTTTTTTCCCCGGCGCGGTAAGGTCGATGGATCGAGGTGATGCTTTGTGGCCTGGGAGGGGTTGAGGCGCGGCGGTGTGCGTACTGAATTGGGTGAAAGAGCGGTGTCGTGGAGGTGTGGGTGCGAGCGAGACTGCGGTCAGAGGCTCGGTGTCGGTATGGGTGGCGGCGAAGAGTATCGCGACGGCAGCGATGATGCTGTTGGTGATGGTGGCAGGCAGGCAGGCAGGCAGGCAGCCGAGCCGAGCTTTGCGTGGAGAGAGAGTAGGCCAGGCAGCAGCAGGCAGGTGCATCGAGGCCACGACGGGGGCCCAAGTCTGAGCGAGCGTGCGCGCTTCGAGATCCAGCCAGCATCTTGGCTGCATCCAGGCGCCTGCCTTGCGCCTGCCTCTTCGCCCGCCGTGTCCGTGGTTGCTCTCGCTTTGACCCGTCTCGACTCGAGTTGGCAGGTGGCCTTGCTTGCGCTGGCCGTGCTCATCGTGACAGCCAGCGGTGGGCCTCTCGCGACCCCCATGGCCCGGCATAGCAAGCAAGCAAGCAAGCAAGCAAAGGCGAGCCACAACCTTGCGTCCGATTCTGAGCCTCACCTTGACGACCCACAGACTAGAGACAGACAGACGATCAGGAGCGAGGATCCGACTGCCGCCAGCCGATAAAATGGTGCGCCGGATGCGAGGACCCTGGCGGCAGGGCTTGGGCCGCCGTCGATCCAGCGCCCGCGCGGCCAACGGGCGAGCCTGCCTGGCCTGCTGGCCTGCCCCTGCTGAACAGAGCTCGCACTCGGAATCCGGCCAAAATTGAAGGCGAAATGCCGCTCTCTCTCCCGCAGGCCTTCTTCGCAGCCTAACCAACCACGAAGAAGGCCAGGACCCGACTCAGAGCGCTCGTCTGGAAGAGCGTCGGCCTCTGCCCGTGGCTTTGGCCACGGCGAGGCTTATTCTCCTCCCCTTCGGTCAGCCCCATCACCTGACCATGCCAACAAAATATCATATATATATGCATTTTTGGCGCTCCCCTTCACGGCCACTCCTGGTTAGTACAATGGTCAGTATAGGACACTCTCACGGGTCTTCTCCGCCTCCGAGGGCTGGAAGACGGTGCTGTTCAGATCGGGGTTCGATTCCCCGGCCGGGAAAGCTTTTTGCTTGTTTCTGCGCGACTAGACGCTGCGTTTCGACATGGTCGTCTGGAGCAGAATGGCTACGATACGGGGATTGGGGAACGACGGGGGTTCGTTCATCCCTGGAAGGCGGTGCCCTTTTTCTCGACGACGCTGATGCCGCCGGCAGCGTAGCCGGTCCCCTCGCGCTGGAGCTGGATCAGTTCCCCCTGCCGGATCCTCTTTGTCGTCGTCGTCGTCGTCGTCGTCGCCGCGGCGGCCGAAGGGGTGTCGTCGGCCTTTGACGACGCCGACGACGGGGCCTCGGGCTTTTCGAGCTTGAGCGGCGTATCGCACTCGACGCACGCCGGATGGGCAGAGGGGACGAGCAGCGTCGAGACGCACGTCGTGCAGTGGACGTGTCCGCACTGCTTGAGCGCTGCATCCGTCAGACAGAGGGGGCCGGGGGCGACGAGGGGAAAGGGGGCTGTCGTGTCAGCTCGTCTGCGCCTGTGTGATCGCCTGCGATTGATAGACGGCGTGAAGCGAGGTCCGAACAACCGAGCGGACGACGCACCAAAGAGGATCGACGAGGTGGTGAGCACCTTCTTGCACCCGGCGCACACCTTTGTCTCGCTGTCCAGCGTCGGAAACCTGACCGGGTGGAGCGTCTTCATGCTGCCGGGAGGGGCAAGGGGGAGATACGAGTCCCGTCAGCAAGGGTGGCCGTGCGACCCGGAGGATGTCCACCGTCGAGCCGACGGCCGGGATGCTCACGTTATGCGGTGGCCCTTTTCGTTTTCGGCCTTGCAGAGCGGCTTGAGCTTGTCGCGCAGCACCTTTGGCGGCGCCTCTGCCTCGGTCGGGGTGAGCGAGGGCAGCCAGAAGGCCGGCAGCTTGGCCTTGCGCGCCTGGGCCTGCTCGGCGGCGATCTTGGCGATGGCGGCGCGTTCGGCCTCGCGGGCCTGGGCCGCCATGCGCTCCGACAGCGTCGTGGGCCCCGCGGCCTCGCCCGTCGGTCCGCTGCTGATTGCCTTGCGCTTGAGCGCTGAAGCAGTGGTAGCAGGAGGAGGTCAGAGCCAGGTCGACCGGGTTAGCCGTCAGGTCACAGAGTGCTGACCGTACCTCGGCGTCGAAGGAAGGTCACGACGAGCACTCACGATTCGAAACCCCTGCCGTCTGTCCGTCCCGCTCCGCTCCGTCGTCGTCGCCGTTGGTCCTCGCAGCTGCGGCTGCCGAGCGCGAGGCCGAGGTGGCGAGGGCGTCGTAGCGCTGTTCAAAGTCCCGCGACACCCGCTCTCTCGCCTGCTGCGCCTGCATCTGCCTCTCTGCCTCTTCCTCCCTCTCCCACCTCTCGAGCTCGGCTTTGAACCGCTCGATCGATGCTTTTTGCGTCAGCAGATCTTGGAGTATGCATTCCTGTCCGGGTCGGGCGTTGCACGTGAGTAGAGAAAGGGCGGAACCAGGACCGTCTGGGCGTCAGCGCATCCCCATAGGCTGCATTGTAGAGTGGTGCTGGGTGGCGCCGCCTGCTCACCTTGCAAAAGACGTGACCCTCGCTGCAGCATACAGGATCGCGCGCCGTCTGGAGGCAGAGCGAGCAGCAGTCGAAGCGGCGCACCGACTCGGAACCCAGCCTCTGGCGCTGCGTGCCCCACCGGTCGGCGAGCATCTGGTACTCGGCATAGGTAAAGTGGCCCGAGGCCGTATTGTGCTTCGAATGGCGGCCCATGTCGTTCGAGGTCCCGTCGTGTCGCGCCGCGGCCCGGTAGTGCGCGCTCTGTAGGGAGGACGAGGTCGATGCCCGAGGTCGTGGGGTGGGGTCGGGCGAGGTTGGTGGTGCAGAGCAGGAAGGCAGGTCCTGCCTGGGCCCAAGCATGTAGGGTCCGATCACGTTTTCCCCATCTCGGGCCACCCGCCCCAGCCGCCTCTCTCACTCTTCCACTTTAGTTGCCGCAACGACGCCGCGGCCTGGCACACCTCCTGAAACCCGCCACAGACACAAGGCGAGACAGGCAAAGGGCGAGGGCAATCCAAGTCCGCGGCAGTGGCACGATGCCAAGCGGGGGGGAATAGTAGTAGTGATACAGGAAGGAAACCCAGACCGATCCAGGCGGGAGCGAGCAAAAAGCGTGGCACAACGCCAGCCAGCGCACGCGGGCGCAATCTCACGGCGGGTTGGTCGGGAGGAAGTTCTGCGATGCAGCCGAACGCGGGGGGAGAGTGGGACAAGAGCAAGGCGTCAGTCTGGAAGCAAGCGGTGCGCGCAAAGAGCAGGGCCAGGGCCGCCTGGCACTCACACCAACAATCATCGTGGGTATCTGGGAGGCGGCGGCGAAGGGGGAGGGCGAGGCGGCAAGGCGGTCGTGGGTTAGCTGTGCATCCATCTGGAGCGAGCGACGGGCGAGGGGCGCGCCTTGGGACTCACGTTCCACTGGTCGCGCCGGATGGTGAAGCTGAAGCAGCAGTGGATGTGGTGGATGCGGCCGCCCTCCTTGCCGGGCGTCGTGTTGCCACCGGTGGCCCCGTTTCCGTTGGCGTTGCCGTTGCCGCCGGGACCGCCGCCGCCGCCGGACGACGAGGCGGTCCTGGCGAGCGCTACATCGCCCACACCGCTTGCAGCCGCAGCCTCGCCCCTCTTGTCGTCCCTGTCGGCCTCCTTGCCGCCCTTGCCCGGCACCTCGGCGGCCATCCGCGTACCGCCGTCGAGCGGCGTCAGTGGAAACAGGCCGGCCGCGCTGCCGGGCTGCGGAGCGAGCGTGGGCGTCGTCTGGCCAGAGCTCGTCGTGCCGTGCACCCTTGGCAGCTGCGCCGCAATCAGCTTGGTCGACGACTGCTTGTCCTTGTTGCCCGCCAGCATCGACTTGTTCTTGGTCCGCAGCACGCACGACGTCAGCACCGCCTTCTGCCCCGGATCAAACGAAACCGCGCCGTACTTTTCCCAGTAGTTGACCGCGCTCTCTGCGATCGGGGGCGTCCGGCCGTCAAGAGGAGAGGGGATTCAGGATCGTCGAGGCTAGTCAGTCGCACGCACCCGCGAGCGCCCTCCGCTGCCGCTGCGCAGCTGGGACCTGGGAACGAGGGCAGAGGGACGCACCTTCGGCCATAAGCTCGTAGATGCAGAGCCGACCTTCGCGCAGGCTCTCGATCGGGACGCCGACCAGCTCGGCAAACTCCTTGTTGCCCTTGTAGATCTCGCCGGTCCTCCGCCACAAGCACGCCGGGATCCCCTGGGTGGAAAAGACGCGGTCATAGTCGAGCAGGAGGCGCTCGAATGCCTCTTCGATAAAGATGAGGTCGATGTTGGTGAGCGACTGGGCGACGGCCTGGCAGGGGGAAGGAAGATCGACAGAAGAGACATCGCGCAGATCGACTTGGTCAGCTCCCCTGGTCACACACAGGCCGCTTCGGCGAACCCATTCGCCAGGCTCGGTGGGCTCACCCGGAACGCCGGCCGAAAGACGGAAAGGGGCTTGAGGATCCTCCTCTTTGACGCCTGCGACACGCTGCAAAGGGTGGAGCAGGGGTCCCGAGGGAGCAGGGGATAAGCCTTTGAGTCCTCTGGCCACAGAGGTGCAGCAGGGAACGCCACAGCGGCCATCGACGAGACTCACTTCCTCTCCATCCACCGGTTGAGCCGGGCGTAGCCATTGACGTGGTTGTACGGCCTCAGCAGGCCAGCCTCGTACTTGGCCTGGATGACCCGGCTCAGCCGCTCGTCTCTCGATCCGTCCTTTTGATCGGCTGCAGTGAGGAAGAACCTCTCCGTCTTGCTCGCGGCACCGAGCGAAGGCGGATAAGGCCCGGCGTTGTTGCTGCTGCTGGCGCCTGCCGCATTGCCGTCCTCGGACTTGACCGCGGCCGAGACGCTCGACCCGCGTGGCCGCTGCCCTCGGGCTGCAGACGCCGCCTGGGCCATTGTCTTGTCAGCCTCTCGGGCCGACGGGGCCGGGTCGAGACATGAGCTCGGCGGAGGCAGACTGGCTCTCGCGCCGGGCGCCGAAGGCTCGCCCGCCACGTTGGCAGGGCGGCCCGAAATCGTGTTGCGGCGGCTCCCGCTTCGGCTGGTGTTCGGTGCGCCACCCAAGCCAGCGCTGTTGGGCCCTTGCGGCTGAAGATTCGATGCCTTCTGATTGTTGATCGACGCGCCAAACGCCGAACCGTCGAGGGACTCGAGGAATTCGCTGCTCAAGAAGAAGATCGGCGCGCGGGGGCAAAGAAAGAGGCTCTCAGAATCATCCTGCGTGGGTTCTGTATGCTGCAAGGCCCTCGAAGCGCTCTCGCCGCGATCTTGGCAGACTCACCTCAGCAAAGTGAACTCGTTGCCGCCTGCAGAGTCGCCGCTAAAGCCCTGTCCACCGCCCTCGAAACCGCCAGGACCGCCGCCGAGCCCGAGCCAACCAGCGCCGCCGAGCCCACCGTTGGTGCCGCCGAGTCCCCAGTCGAACATCGACGTGCCGTTGTTGGAGCTAGTGGCGCTGAGTGGCAAGGAGCCCGCGCCGCTAGCGAATGGTTGCGCCTGGCCTGTGGCTCCAGCCTGAGCCTTGAGCGGGGAAGCCGAATTGCGAAAGACTCCGGCCTGGTTGAATGGCGATATCCGGTTGTCGGGATTGAGGCTGCTCATCGGCGACACCGACGAGTAAGGCCCGGCGCTGCTGCCCAGGAATGCGGCATTCGGGTTACCTGCAGGGGGGTGCCCAATGTTATGAATGGAGGAGAGATCGATGGAGGTCAGCTTTGCTCGCGTTGCAAAGCGCCCTGTCAGCGCGACGCTCCGCTTCGTGGGGACTGACCTGCATCACCAACAGGCGGCGCTGCTGCCGAGGGATCGAGATTGAGTCCAGCAGCCGCACCAAAGTAGGAGCTGCCGGACCCACCCAGCGGTGCTCCGTTGTCGATGGCGGAGACGCCAGGCGGACCGTCCACCAGAGTGGTCGCGATCTCGGGCACGGGCAGCGCCGATGGCTCGCTGGAGGCCGAGGTCCGCGGCGCGCCTGGCGCGCTGGCCGATGTATGAGTGGATGCCTGCGACGCAGACGGTGCCGGCTTGCTGGTCGACTCGTCGTGACAGAGGTGGCCGATGTCGCGCTTGATGCACCGCTGGCACGGGCGGCCCTCGTCGCAGGTCATGTGGCTGCGGCGGCAGTAGATGCATGCGAGATTGACCTTGCGGCGCTTTGCCGGCTTCTTTTTGCTGGACGACGACGAAGGTGTGTCGGACGAGGCCGCCGCCCCCGCAGGCTTGGAAGGAGTCGCATGATTGGTGGGGGAGGAGGCGAGGGCAGGCGCAGAGGTGGACGACGACGAGCTGGCGAGCGCGTTGTTGCTCGAGTAGAGGCTGTGCGGGTTGAAGGGTGTCGCAGAGCCGTGGGTCGCAGAGCCGCCCGAGGCTGCCGAAGCAGAGGCTGGCGAGGGCATGAGAGATTTGCTAGCACGCTAGTTTGCAGACGGATCCCCGTGGAGGCTGAGTGCTGGCAGAGGTGGTGTGTAGGTTGCGCGAGTAGCGAGACGAGGGACGACAGTCGGGAGCATCACATGCAGCCGCCTTGCTGAGTCGGTCGGGAAGCGAGGTGCGTGCGAGCGAGCGAGCTCGAGTCTGACCTGCTCAGAGTGCGGATGCCTGGCCGTCTCGTCGAATCCTCGAGGCTCAGTGGTAAGGAGCAGTCGCGTTAGCGCACGGTGGCATCGGCGGGCTCGACGCGCCCAGGGTCCTGGTTGGACGGCCGTTTGGCGGGGGAATACGATGGGCGAGAGCGCGTTCGAGCGGAAGTCGAGCGCAGCGAGGTGGATGGAGAGAAGTGCGAGCGAGAAGGGCGCGCACGAGGCGAGCGGCGTCAGGCTGCTTCGAGACGTGACGAGCGGGTTGAGGATGAAGCGTGTCGGTCGTGGTACCCTCGTGGTGGTGGTCGTGGTCGCGGGAAGGAGGCAAGCCGAGGCCCGGGTCAGCCAGCGTTGGACCCGATGGTGTTCCGCGGCCAGCCCGCCCAGCCTGCCATCGGGGCGCGAGCCAACAGCGCGCCAGCCAGGCACAGCCCAGCCCAGCCCGCATCCCGAAAAGGCCGGTTCCCGACGGCGCTGTGAGGGAGACCCCTGCCTGCGTGCACGAGCTTAGCTTGCTGGGTGACTGCCTGGGGCTGCAAATGCATGTGGGCATGCAGGCTGGCAGGCGGTGCATGCATGCGTGCGCTACGGTGAGCTCAGCGCTGGGCTGCCTGCCTGCCTGCCTTTGCTCGGTCGCGCCCGTCGGCTCCATGGATGACGCCTCGACCCGAGCAGATGCTTGCCTCCAAGGCTAGGCAGGCGGTGGCGACGGTCTGCTTGCCCAGCCCTAGGAGTGGCTACCTAGCAGGCGGCCGACGAGGGGATGGTCTGGCTCCCAAGTTTGGCGCAGCCAGGGAGCCTATGCTGGGGCGGCGCGTGCGGCCAAGAGGCGGGGACCGGCAGGCCCGGGCGGCCAGGCGGTTGGTGATGGTTGACGGCCCTCCCTGGTTGTGATTTGCGCATCGAGGCGAGAGGGCCCCTCTGCACGTACGGCGCTCGCCCGTCGTTTGCTCTGCTTGGGGCCGGCTTGCTGCCGACGGTGCCGTTATGCTATCGCCGTCACCTCTTCTCGTCTGTCACAACGGCACAGAAGAGAGAGAGAGACAAGACAGGCAAGCCAGCAGGTAGGTAGAGCCAACGTCGCGGGCCGGGCCAGGCCAGGCCGAGACGCGGCAGAGCTTGGCCACAGGCAGCAACCCGAGGCAGGCAGGTTATAGGTAGGCCGGCTGGCTACAGTAGCACGCTGCGCTGCAACTTGAAACGGGGGCGGTGGGTTGGCTTCATCCTGCCTCGAGGCTACCTGGAACCTGGCGCCGGGGCCCCTGTTACCGTAGGCGGAGCCTGTGGCAACCTGGCCAAGGCGAGCGAGGGCGCAGTAGTGTGCTGGGCCCAGATGGAGCCAGGCCAGGCCAGATCAGGCCACGGCTGCGGGCAGGCCCTTTCTCTCCACCTCTCTCTGAGCAGCTGTAGGGATCTGGCCTCGACGGCGCTCCCCTTTCTCTCCCGCCACCATCGCTGAGGCCCTCTTTCTCTCAATCGACCCCAGCCTTGCCTCGCCCTCTCCTCTGACGGTCCTCTCTGAACGCATCCCGATCCCTTCTCGGGCGCCGACCAGCGCCACCCCTCCCCCCGCTCGTCGCCTGATTCACCCTCACCTCCTAATCTCCATCTCCCCCTTCCCTCCCTCTCCCTCTCACTCTCTCCTCGTTTGCTGCGGCACTGTACCGACCTGTGCGGACTCGTTGTGCCTTTCACCGCAGCACGTGTCCTCGAACGGCGCAGAATTCGGCATCCTCTTCGGCCACCGCCTCATCGCTCCGAGGACCTTGCCATCTTCTCTGGTGCACTCCACCCAGCCATCAAAGCGAGGCTCTTTGCCCTACCGTCTCGTCCAGTCCCTCCGAGGCCGTTCAGCCCAAGAGGTGCGGACACTTTCCTCCTCCGCTCAGCTGTGCGTTGTATCGCCGATCGCCTCCTGACACGCCACTCCTGGACCTTGGACCTCCGGCTTAGCCCGTCCAGGCCATTCTTCTGATCGCGAGGCGCCCCTCGTCACCCAGAGACCTTCTTCATGGGCACAAGCCTCGCACTTGTCCCCGCTGCCCTGTCTCCAGCACAGGATCTAGCGCTGCACCTCTGACCCGCCACCTCGCCCACCACAACCTCAGTCTGGCACGGCCCGAATCCGGGCGCCGCCACAGCCGGACATGAGCGCCGCCGAATACCTGGGCGCGACCTCGTCTCGGCATGCCATTGGCCACAGCGCAGCAGCAGCAGCAGCGTCGCCGCATGCCCCAGCTCTACCAGCGCTAGACAAGGGCAAGGCCAGGGAAGTCGACCCACTCCGCTCGTCGCCCGATCCTGCAGGCTCTACCCGGCTGTTGGCAGGCCGCCGGCTCGACGAGCGCTCCCATCATCATAGAGCAACCAGAGACAGCGATAGCCGACCTGACTCCGCCTCGACCAAGGGCAAGGCCAGGTCATCGTCTCGGGTGGCCGAGGAGCGGCCAGTCCCAGGCCAAGACTACGACGACATCGACACGCTTCGCCTCGGCCACGGTCGAGGGCACAAGCAGCGGAATCCGAGCCTCCAAGAGCCGGACTTTGGAGAGTCGTTTGCCGCCGCATTTGGCGGCGCAGCCTCGTCCCACGAACCCCCTTCGAACGAGGTCGCTTCCCTCGGGAGGGCGCCCTGCAGCATCGCGTTGCCTCGTGACCATGCCGCCGGCGGCTCGCGCCGTGACAGCCCCGCGCGTGTCAGCTCGAGCAAAAGGGCCTACGCCGACGTCTCTGCCTCGCCCCAGCACTCTCCCGCGACGGAGACGATCAGTCTGCCTGGCTCACCTGGAGTCAGCGAGCCGCCGTCCTGGAGGGATTCGCTTACGGGTGCGAGGACCGTTGCATCGCCGCCACTCGAACAGGCCACCACCTCCGCCGCAGCCGGCTCGTCCAGCTCCATTGCGCCTACTAGCGCAGCACCGTCGGGTGCTCCAAGTACGGCGCTCCTGAGGCACCGCGGCTCAAACAAGCGACGCCGCCCGGACCGCACGTCTTCGGACGGTACCACGGAGGGGACCGCCTCGTCGCATCTGCGCTCGGCGCGCAGCTCCATGGACAACGCGGACCCGATCGATGACCTTCGAGCCATGATCGAGGCGCAGAGCCGGCTGATCGACTCCTCGTCCGACATGACCCTGAGCTCGATCGCATCGAATGGCGCAAGGGACATCAGCGACATGTCGGCCGACGCGATCGCGGACCAGGGCATGTCGAGCAGTGTCCCCACCAGGTCCAGTCGGACGGCGTCTCTGCAGCTGGACGACGCTTCGTCTCACCGGCAGACGCAATTCCCTCCCGCAAGGGGTCTAGGCCTTGGACGGCGGCCCGATGCGAATGCTACAAGTCCGGACCTACAGGGAGCAACCGCGGCCGGCGAGCCTGGTCGTGCTCCGCCGATCTCCTCGCGATCCAGAGTCTCTGCGTCTGAGACGCGCGCCCCGTCTGCCAGGTCGCGCCCGTCTCTCCTGCACAATGCCGGTACGGACTCGATGTCGCTGGGCCTGGTTCATCAGAACGACACCAGCCATCGCCAAGGTGGCGCCGCCGCCAACGACGATCCTGTCGCCGCCCGACTCACTCGTCTCTCAAGCTTCTCGCGCGGCGGAACAAGCCTCGAGCCGATCGTCACCAGCGTTGCAGACGAGGCTGCAGGTCCCTCGACGTCGGCGCTTCGGCGGAATCAGGCGCTGTCGGCCCAGCTCGCCGATCTGCGCTCTCGGGTGGACAGCACCGCGGTGGAATTGGCCAACTGGAGAGCCAGGAGCCAGGAGCTTCGGCACCGCCTCACGTCGAGCGTCGCCAGCGTTGACGGCACTCCAAGCCAGGAGCCCGGTCGTCGAGATGCCACGCCCCGGAGCGGCAGTCATGCGACCACACAACCGCCATTCGAAGTGGTCAACACTGCGATGCCAGCCGCGTCCACGCCTCCCCGCGACCCGTACCCGTCCCACGCCGAGACCGCCTCCCTGACGTCGCACGCTTCCGAGAGGCGCATTGGCTCCATCGGCGCACTTGGGAGGGTCCGGGGCCCAACGAGGCGGGCCAACGAGATCTGGCTCGGGCTGGGCGGGCGTGACGACGGTGTCCATAGTGACACGCTGAGGGCCACGGGCCAACGACAAGATGTTCCGCCCGTTGGCGCCAGCGGGAGGCAGCCTCAGCCCCTTCTCGAGCGATCCGGCATCGACCGAAGCCCAGATCGCGAAAGCGGTGGAGCGAGTTCTCGTGAAGGCACGCCACGCACCGGCGACCGGAGCACGGCCAGGCCATGGCTCGATGCACCACAGCTTCCGGACTTGCGGGCAAGATCGCCTCTGTCGTTTTGGTTCACACCAAACGCTGGCGGCGAAGCTTCCGCTGCGACCGCCAGGCCTCTGCAGGACGCTCGCACGACAGCTCCCCGACGCCACAGCGACGAAGGCGTGGCGGCCGAGCCAGCCGACGTTTCCTCGACGACACGGCCGGGCCTTCGGCCTCTGACACTGTCTGCACGCCTGCTCCGCAGCGATACCAACCGAAGGACGGCCCACATCCCGGAGTCACCCCTGGCCGCGCTAGATGGCGACGCCGACAGACTGGATGCTCCGCCGGCCTCGAGTGCCGAGCAGAGGGGCATGGCGCGCACCCTAAACGACATCGGCATGCTTCCCGCCGGTCAGGCAGGGCGGCGCTGGTCTCCGTACGATGCGGTCCCACCTCATTCCCAGGATCGCGGCCTCCGGCGCCCGGGTCGTGACAACCGCGACAACCCGGGCCCGAGGCCGAACTTCTTCCTTTCGAGCTATTTGAACTCGATCGACGCCGAGGACAGCGCCGCCGAGCCCTGGTCGGTCGACTTTAGGGCCGGGATCGGTTCAGCCACTGGTCTGATGGGGAACCGAGCTGCCCGGGATGACGCAGGCGACGGCGTTCGCAGCGCGCCGGCCGACACGGGTCTGTTGGAGCACATCGCCTGGCGCCGGGCCAGACGCCTCGAGGCATCCGTCGCTGCGACAAACGAAGCGCAGCAAAGTCTGCGGTCTGGGCGCATCAGCCAGCGGCGGCTCGACCCGACGGAGCCTCAGAGCACTGGCCCCGCCGATTCCAGAGGCGGCCCCGGCTTCGGCGCCGGGCCGCCGTCATGGCTTGGACACCAGAACGACTCGCAGCGACGCCTGGACACGACGCCTAGAGGGCCTGTCTCGCCTCCGTCCCATCGCCAAGAGGGCAGTCCGTCTGGCGCGGCCGGACAAGCGTCTTCGTTGCGCCTGAGACGCAGAGCCGAGTGGCTCAGCTCCCAGAACGCCTCGCTCTCGGCCGCCGATCGGCGCGAAGGCTCAATCGGCCGCTCGACCCGTGACGTGCCAAGACACGACGGCTCCGCCCCTGGGCGGCACAACGTGGGCGCAGACGACGTCAGGGTCGAGGATGGCGCCGCCGGCGGTCTCCGCCCCTATCGCCACATCTCCGACTTTTCGTGGGAGCGCGTCAGGGCCGAGGGCAGCCAGCCACAGAGGACGAGGGCGTCCGACCGCGATCCTTCCGAGAGCCCGTTCGACTATCTGAGCCGCCTCCTCCGCCAGGATGAGCCGGCGACAACCGGTGGCGGTAGTGGCAGCAGCAGCAGCAGCGGCGGCAGCGCGTCGCGAGCCCGCATGCTGCCGTCGTGGAGAACGGGCGAGAGCTCGAGGGTGGCAAACAGCTTTGACGACTGGTTCGACGTCGACCACCACGGCCCGTGGACCTCGACCAGCCGCATCGAGTCGTTCCTGCGCATGATGCGGCAGGACGGCCTCGGCCTCGGCCTCGCCTCGGACCCGGCCAACTACCTCACCGATGACGAGTGGGACGCCTCCAACACGTACGAGGACCTGCTGCTGCTGTCGTCGCGGCTCGGCGACGTCCAGTCCAAGAATGTCCCGTCGCACGTCGTCGCCTGCTTCTCCACCTGCCCGTACTCGCAGTGGGGCGGGGGCAGCTGCGACAGCCCGCCCTCGCCCCCGGTGGTGGGCAAGGGCAAGCAAAAGGTCGACGACGAGGCCATCGCACGCGCCGTCGCCCTCAAGGCGTCGCGCGACACGAGCTGCGCCATCTGCCTCGACGACTACAGGGACGCGGACCTCATCATGTCGGTGCCCGGCTGCAACCACGCCTCGCACGCCTCGTGCCTCAAGGTGAGTTCTGGCCAGGCCAGGCTCCAGAGGTAGGCCGTGGCGCCACAATCGAGGAGGCAAA